ACTGACCACACCCTGGGACAACTGACCACACCCTGGGACCACTGACCACACTCTGGGACAACTGACCACTCCCCGGAGCAACTGACCACACTCTGGGACAACTGACCACACTCTGGGGCAACTGACCACACTCTGGGACAACTGACCACACTCTGGGACAACTGACCACACTCTGGGACAACTGACCACACCCTGGGACAACTGACCACACCCTGGGACAACTGACCACACTCTGGGACAACTGACCACACCCTGGGACAACTGACCACTCCCTGGGACAACTGACCACACTCTGGGACAACTGACCACACCCCGGAGCAACTGACCACACCCTGGGACAACTGACCACACCCTGGGACAACTGACCACACCCTGGAACAACTGACCACACCCTGGGACAACTGACCACACTCTGGGACAACTGACCACACCCCGGGACAACTGACCACACTCTGGGACAACTGACCACACCCCGGGGCAACTGACCACACTCTGGGACAACTGACCACACCCTGGGACAACTGACCACTCCCTGGGACAACTGACCACACTCTGGGACAACTGACCACACTCTGGGACAACTGACCACACCCTGGGACAACTGACCACACTCTGGGACAACTGACCACACTCTGGGACAACTGACCACACTCTGGGACAACTGACCACACCCTGGGACAACTGACCACACCCTGGGACCACTGACCACACTCTGGGACAACTGACCACTCCCCGGAGCAACTGACCACACTCTGGGACAACTGACAACACTCTGGGGCAACTGACCGCACTCTGGGACAACTGACCACACTCTGGGACAACTGACCACACCCTGGGACAACTGACCACACCCTGGGACAACTGACCACACTCTGGGATTAACTGACCACACCCCGGAGCCACTGACCACACTCTGGGACAACTGACCACACCCTGGGACAACTGACCACACTCTGGGACAACTGACCACACTCTGGGACAACTGACCACACCCCGGAGCAACTGACCACACTCTGGGACAACTGAAAACACTCTGGGACAACTGACCACACCCCGGAGCAACTGCCCACACTCTTTGGACAACTGACCACACCCTGGGACAACTGATCACACTCTGGGATAACTAACCACACCCCGGAGCAACTGACCACACTCTGGGACAACTGACCACACTCTGGGACAACTGACCACACTCTGGGACAACTGACCACACCCCGGAGCAACTGACCACACTCTGGGACAACTGACGACACTCTGGAACAACTGACCACACCCTGGGACAACTGACCACACTCTGGGACAACTGACCACACTCTGGGACAACTGACCACACTTTGGGACAACTGACCACACCCTGGGACAACTGACCACACCCTGGGACAACTGACCACACTCTGGGACAACTGACCACACTCTGGGACAACTGACCACACCCCGGAGCTACTGACCACACCCTGGGACAACTGACCACACTCTGGGACAACTGACCACACTCTGGGACAACTGACCACACCCTGGGACAACTGACTACACCCTGGGACAACTGACCACACTCTGGGATAACTGACCACACTCTGGGACAACTGACCACACCCCGGAGCAACTGACCACACCCTGGGACAACTGACCACACTCTGGGACAACTGACCACACTCTGGGACAACTGACCACACCCCGGAGCAACTGACCACACCCTGGGACAACTGACCACACCCTGGGACAACTGACCACACTCTGGGACAACTGACCACACTCTGGGACAACTGACCACACCCTGGGACAACTGACCACACTCTGGGACAACTGACCACACTCTGGGACAACTGACCACACTCTGGGACAACTGACCACACTCTGGGAAAACTGACCACACCCCGGAGCAACTGACCACACCCTGGGACAACTGGCCACACCCTGGGACAACTGACCACACTCTGGGACAACTGACCACACTCTGGGACAACTGACCACACCCCGGAGCAACTGACCACACCCTGGGACAACTGACCACACTCTGGGACAACTGACCACACCCTGGGCAGCTGACCACACCCTGGGACAACTGACCACACCCTGGGACAAATGACCACACCCTGGGACAACTGACCACACTATGGAGTCCATATCTAGTCAAGCATAAGACAAAACTGGAAAAGGTTCAAAGGTTTGCCACCAGACTAGTACCCGAACTGAGGGGTATGAGCTACGAGGAGAGACTTCGGGAATTAAACCTCACGTCACTGGGAAACAGAAGAGTTAGAGGGGACATGATCACCACATACAAGATTCTCAGAGGAATTGATAATGGTAGATAAAGACAGACTTTTTAACACGAGGGGCACACGCACTAGGGGACATGGGTGGAAATTGAGTGCCCAAATGAGCCATAGAGACGTTAGAAAGAATTTTTTCAGTGTCAGAGTAGTAGACAAATGGCATGCATTAGGAAGTGATGTGGTGGAGGCTGACTCCATACACAGCTTCAAGTGTAGATATGATAGAGCCCAGTAGGCTCAGGAACCTGTACATTAGTTGATTGACAGTTGAGAGGCGGGACCAAAGAGCCAGAGCTCAATCCCCGCAAGCACAATTAGGTAAGTACAATTAGGTAAGGCATACCCAAAGACATGTAGAGGTATACCCAGTGACATGTAGAGGCATACCCTGAGATATGTAGAGGTATATCCAGTGGCAGACATTTAAAGACATTCCATGTGACATGAAGAGACACAGAGTGACATTTGTAAAGACACGCAGTGACATTACCAGAGACATAGAAATACCCAGAGACCCAGAGGGACATACCCGTAGACACGCAGAAACATACCCCGCAGATACACACATCCTACAGCGACATACTCTGCAGAGTATGTTGCTGACGTACTCAGAGACACAAAGATACATACCGTGTAGATACATACCTAGAGACACACAGATATATACTTATAGACACGAGCATAATGACACCCAGAGACATACACAGAGACACTCAGAGATATACCCAACATTCGTCCGTTTCACTTCTGTTATCGCAATAAAATATTGTTACTCTTCCATCACTCTTTCCTCTAATTCTTCTCCTTTATTTGTAATTCTATCTGCATTTGTGTTCATGACCTTAATATGACATCTCTACTGGGCTGTTTGATTTTCCAAGGTGGATTCGTTATGGTTCCATGAACAATTGTAATTGGGGAGTTTGTTGGTTTAGTCACTCCTGAGCTCTTGTTCCCTAGTCCTTGTGAGCTCTTGTTCCTTAGACCTTGTGAGCTCTTGTTCCCTAGTCCTTGTGAGCTCTTGTTCCCTAGTCCTTATGAGCTCTTGTTCCCTAGTCCTTGTGAGCTCTTGTTCCCTAGTCCTTGTGAGCTCTTGTTCCCTAGTCCTTGTGAGCTCTTGTTCCCTAGTCCTTGTGAGCTCTTGTTCCCTAGTCCTTGTGAGCTCTTGTTCCCTAGTCCTTGTGAGCTCTTGTTCCCTAGTCCTTGTGAGCTCTTGTTCCCTAGTCCTTGTGAGCTCTTGTTCCCTAGTCCTTGTGAGCTCTTGTTCCTTAGTCCTTATGAGCTCTTGTTCCCTAGTCCTTGTGAGCTCTTGTTCCCTAGTCCTTGTGAGCTCTTGTTCCCTAGTCCTTGTGAGCTCTTGTTCCCTAGTCCTTGTGAGCTCTTGTTCCCTAGTCCTTGTGAGCTCTTGTTCCCTAGTCCTTGTGAGCTCTTGTTCCTTAGACCTTGTGAGCTCTTGTTCCCTAGTCCTTGTGAGCTCTTGTTCCTTAGACCTTGTGAGCTCTTGTTCCCTAGTCCAAGTTCTTAAATCCTTGCGAGCTCGTATTACTTGAATCCTTGTGAGCTCGTATTACTTATGAGTCCTTGGGAGCTCTTATTTCTGAGAATCCTTGGAAGATCTTGTTGCTAAGGGTCATTGGGATCTCTTATTTTTTAGAGTCTTTGGGAGCTCTTGTTCCTTAATCTTTGGGAGCTCCTATTTTTTGTTGCTTAGCTCTTATTCCGTAGAGTTCTTGGGAGCTCTTATTCCTTAGCGCTCTTGTGAGCTCTTATCCATTAAGGCCGTTTGGAGCTTTCATTCCTTATAGAGGCTTTGGGGACTCTTATTCCTTAGAGTCCTTGGGAGCTCTTATTTCCTAGAACCCTTGGGAACACTTATTCTTTAAAACTCTTGGGAGATCTTATCCCTTAGTGTCCTTGTGAACTCTTATTCCATAGAGTCCTTGTGAGCTCTTAATTTGTTCCTTAGAGTCCTTAGAAGCTCATAATTTGTTCCTTAGAGTCCTTGTGAGCTCTTAATTTGTTCCTCAGAGTTCTTGAGGCTCTTAATTTGTTTCTTAGGGTTCTTTGGAACTCTTAATTTGTTCCTTACAGTCCTTGGGAGCTCTTATTCCTTAGAATCCTTGGGAGCTCTTATTCCCTAGAGTCTATGGGAGCTCTTGTTCCTTAAATTCCTTGTGAGACCTTTTTCCTTGAGAGTCCTTGGGAGCTCTTATTCCTTATAGTCATTGTGAGCTCTTATTCCATAGTCTATGTGAGCTCATTTTCCTAAGAGTCATTGCATGTGAGCTGTTATTATTGAGAGTCTTTGTGAGCTCTTATTCCTTAGAGTCAATGTGAGCTGTTATTATTGAGAGTCCTTGTGAGCTCTTATTCCTTAGAGTCAATGTGAGCTGTTATTATTGAGAGTCCTTGTGAGCTCTTATTCATTAGAGTCAATGTGAGCTGTTATTATTGAGAGTCCTTGTGAGCTCTTATTCATTAGAGTCAATGTGAGCTGTTATTATTGAGAGTCTTTGTGAGCTCTTATTCCTTAGAGTCAATGTGAGCTGTTATTATTTAAGGTCCTTGTGAGTATTTAGAGTCCTTGTGAGCTCTTAGCCCACAATCTGCACACCATGAACACAATTTACATATTTCAGACTTGAACATTATACTATATTTACAAAATTTTAAGCTTTCACTGAGTGTTGTGGAGGATGAGAGTAACGAGGTGGTGTTCCGCAGGGACCCGTGTGATCTGCCCGACTGTCCCTTCATCCTGGAGGACGACCAGGACGCCTCCACCTCCCTCCTCGCCCTCTACACCGTCGACTCTGTAAGCTGAGGTGCTTCGCTGTGTTGAGGGCCCTCATCACCTCTCACTGTGTGGAGGGCCCCTCATCATCTCTCACTGTGTGGAGGGCCCTCATTATCTCACACTGTGTGGAGGGCCCTCATTACCTCTCACTGTGTGGAGGGCCCTCATCACCTCACACTGTGTGGAGGGCCCTCATCACCTCTCACTGTGTGGAGGGCCCTCATCACCTCTCACTGTGTGGAGGGCCCTCATCACCTCTCACTGTGTGGAGGGCCCTCATCCCCTAACACTGTGTGGAGGGCCCTCATCCCCTCACACTGTGTGGAGGGCCCTCATCACCTCTCACTGTGTGGAGGGCCCTCATCACCTCTCACTGTGTGGAGGGCCCCTCATTATCTCACACTGTGTGGAGGGCCCTCATCACCTCACACTGTGTGGAGGGCCCTCATCACCTCTCACTGTGTGGAGGGCCCTCATCACCTCTCACTGTGTGGAGGGCCCTCATCACCTCTCACTGTGTGGAGGGCCCTCATCCCCTCACACTGTGTGGAGGGCCCTCATCACCTCTCACTGTGTGGAGGGCCCTCATCCCCTCACACTGTGTGGAGGGCCCTCATCCCCTCACACTGTGTGGAGGGCCCTCATCCCCTCACACTGTGTGGAGGGCCCTCATCACCTCTCACTGTGTGGAGGGCCCTCATCCCCTAACACTGTGTGGAGGGCCCTCATCCCCTAACACTGTGTGGAGGGCCCTCATCCCCTAACACTGTGTAGAGGGCCCTCATCACCTCACACTGTGTGGAGGGCCCTCATCACCTCTCACTGTGTGGAGGGCCCTCATCACCTCTCACTGTGTGGAGGGCCCTCATCACCTCTCACTCTGTGGAGGGCCTTCATCATCTCTCACTGTGTGGAGGGCCCTCATCCCCTAACACTGTGTGGAGGGCCCTCATCCCCTAACACTGTGTGGAGGGCCCTCATCACCTCACACTGTGTGGAGGGCCCTCATCATCTCTCACTGTGTGGAGGGCCCTCATCCCCTCACACTGTGTGGAGGGCTCTCATCCCCTCACACTGTGTGGAGGGCCCTCATCCCCTCACACTGTGTGGAGGGCCCTCATCACCTCACACTGTGTGGAGGGCCCTCATCCCCTAACACTGTGTGGAGGGCCCTCATCACCTCACACTGTGTGGAGGGCCCTCATCCCCTAACACTGTGTGGAGGGCCCTCATCACCTCACACTGTGTGAAGGGCCTTCATCACCTCACACTGTGTGGAGGGCCCTCATCCCCTAACACTGTGTGGAGGGCCCTCATCACCTCACACTGTGTGGAGGGCCCTCATCATCTCTCACTGTGTGGAGGGCCCTCATCACCTCACACTGTGTGGAGGGCCTTCATCACCTCTCACTGTGTGGAGGGCCCTCATCACCTCTCACTGTGTGGAGGGCCCTCATCATCTTTCACTGTGTGGAGGGCCCTCATCACCTCACACTGTGTGGAGGGCCTTCATCACCTCTCACTGTGTGGAGGGCCCTCATCCCCTCTCACTGTGTGGAGGGCCCTCATCACCTCTCACTGTGTGGAGGGCCTTCATCACCTCACACTGTGTGGAGGGCCTTCATCACCTCTCACTGTGTGGAGGGCCTTCATCATCTTTCACTGTGTGGAGGGCCTTCATCCCCTCTCACTGTGTGGAGGGCCCTCATCACCTCTCACTGTGTGGAGGGCCCTCATCACCTCACACTGTGTGGAGGGCCTTCATCATCTTTCACTGTGTGGAGGGCCTTCATCCCCTCTCACTGTGTGGAGGGCCCTCATCACCTCACACTGTGTGGAGGGCCCTCATCACCTCTCACTGTGTGGAGGGCCCTCATCACCTCTCACTGTGTGGAGGGCCCTCATCATCTCTCACTCTGTGGAGGGCCCTCATCACCTCACACTGTGTGGAGGGCCCTCATCACCTCTCACTGTGTGGAGGGCCCTCATCATCTCTCACTGTGTGGAGGGCCCTCATCCCCTCTCACTGTGTGGAGGGCCTTCATCACCTCACACTGTGTGGAGGGCCCTCATCCCCTCTCACTGTGTGGAGGGCCCTCATCACCTCTCACTGTGTGGAGGGCCTTCATCACCTCTCACTGTGTGGAGGGCCCTCATCCCCTCTCACTGTGTGGAGGGCCCTCATCCCCTCTCACTGTGTGGAGGGCCCTCATCCCCTCTCACTGTGTGGAGGGCCCTCATCCCCTCTCACTGTGTGGAGGGCCCTCATCACCTCACACTGTGTGGAGGGCCTTCATCACCTCTCACTGTGTGGAGGGCCATCATCCCCTCTCACTGTGTGGAGGGCCCTCATCCCCTCTCACTCTGTGGAGGGCCCTCATCCCCTCTCACTGTGTGGAGGGCCCTCATCACCTCTCACTGTGTGGAGGCCCTTCATCATCTTTCACTGTGTGGAGGGCCTTCATCACCTCACACTGTGTGGAGGGCCCTCATCACCTCACACTGTGTGGAGGGCTCTCATCATCTTTCACTGTGTGGAGGGCCCTCATCATCTCTCACTGTGTGGAGGGTCCTCATCCCCTCACACTGTGTGGAGGGCCCTCATCACCTCTCACTGTGTGGAGGGCCCTCATCACCTCACACTGTGTGGAGGGCCCTCATCACCTCACACTGTGTGGAGGGCCCTCATCATCTCTCACTGTGTGGAGGGCCCTCATCCCCTCTCACTGTGTGGAGGGCCTTCATCACCTCACACTGTGTGGAGGGCCCTCATCACCTCACACTGTGTGGAGGGCCCTCATCACCTCACACTGTGTGGAGGCCCCTCATCACCTCACACTGTGTGGAGGGCCCTCATCACCTCACACTGTGTGGAGGGCCTTCATCATCTTTCACTGTGTGGAGGGCCCTCATCACCTCACACTGTGTGGAGGGGCCCCTCATCCCCTCTCACTGTATGGAGGGCCTTCATCACCTCACACTGTGTGGAGGGCCCTCATCATCTCTCACTGTGTGGAGGGCCCTCATCACCTCTCACTGTGTGGAGGGCCCTCATCATCTCTCACTGTGTGGAGGGCCCTCATCACCTCTCATTGTGTGGAGGGCCCTCATCACCTCTCACTGTGTGGAGGGCCCTCATCACCTCTCACTGTGTGGAGGGCCCTCATCCCCTCTCACTGTGTGGAGGGCCCTCATCCCCTCTCACTGTGTGGAGGGCCCTCATCACCTCACACTGTGTGGAGGGCCTTCATCACCTCTCACTGTGTGGAGGGCCATCATCCCCTCTCACTGTGTGGAGGGCCCTCATCCCCTCTCACTCTGTGGAGGGCCCTCATCCCCTCTCACTGTGTGGAGGGCCCTCATCACCTCTCACTGTGTGGAGGCCCTTCATCATCTTTCACTGTGTGGAGGGCCTTCATCACCTCACACTGTGTGGAGGGCCCTCATCACCTCACACTGTGTGGAGGGCTCTCATCATCTTTCACTGTGTGGAGGGCCCTCATCATCTCTCACTGTGTGGAGGGTCCTCATCCCCTCACACTGTGTGGAGGGCCCTCATCACCTCTCACTGTGTGGAGGGCCCTCATCACCTCACACTGTGTGGAGGGCCCTCATCACCTCACACTGTGTGGAGGGCCCTCATCATCTCTCACTGTGTGGAGGGCCCTCATCCCCTCTCACTGTGTGGAGGGCCTTCATCACCTCACACTGTGTGGAGGGCCCTCATCACCTCACACTGTGTGGAGGGCCCTCATCACCTCACACTGTGTGGAGGCCCCTCATCACCTCACACTGTGTGGAGGGCCCTCATCACCTCACACTGTGTGGAGGGCCTTCATCATCTTTCACTGTGTGGAGGGCCCTCATCACCTCACACTGTGTGGAGGGGCCCCTCATCCCCTCTCACTGTATGGAGGGCCTTCATCACCTCACACTGTGTGGAGGGCCCTCATCATCTCTCACTGTGTGGAGGGCCCTCATCACCTCTCACTGTGTGGAGGGCCCTCATCATCTCTCACTGTGTGGAGGGCCCTCATCACCTCTCATTGTGTGGAGGGCCCTCATCACCTCTCACTGTGTGGAGGGCCCTCATCACCTCTCACTGTGTGGAGGGCCCTCATCCCCTCTCACTGTGTGGAGGGCCCTCATCCCCTCTCACTGTGTGGAGGGCCCTCATCACCTCACACTGTGTGGAGGGCCTTCATCACCTCTCACTGTGTGGAGGGCCATCATCCCCTCTCACTGTGTGGAGGGCCCTCATCCCCTCTCACTCTGTGGAGGGCCCTCATCCCCTCTCACTGTGTGGAGGGCCCTCATCACCTCTCACTGTGTGGAGGCCCTTCATCATCTTTCACTGTGTGGAGGGCCTTCATCACCTCACACTGTGTGGAGGGCCCTCATCACCTCACACTGTGTGGAGGGCTCTCATCATCTTTCACTGTGTGGAGGGCCCTCATCATCTCTCACTGTGTGGAGGGTCCTCATCCCCTCACACTGTGTGGAGGGCCCTCATCACCTCTCACTGTGTGGAGGGCCCTCATCACCTCACACTGTGTGGAGGGCCCTCATCACCTCACACTGTGTGGAGGGCCCTCATCATCTCTCACTGTGTGGAGAGCCCTCATCCCCTCTCACTGTGTGGAGGGCCTTCATCACCTCACACTGTGTGGAGGGCCCTCATCACCTCACACTGTGTGGAGGGCCCTCATCACCTCACACTGTGTGGAGGCCCCTCATCACCTCACACTGTGTGGAGGGCCCTCATCACCTCACACTGTGTGGAGGGCCTTCATCATCTTTCACTGTGTGGAGGGCCCTCATCACCTCACACTGTGTGGAGGGGCCCCTCATCCCCTCTCACTGTATGGAGGGCCTTCATCACCTCACACTGTGTGGAGGGCCCTCATCATCTCTCACTGTGTGGAGGGCCCTCATCACCTCTCACTGTGTGGAGGGCCCTCATCATCTCTCACTGTGTGGAGGGCCCTCATCACCTCTCATTGTGTGGAGGGCCCTCATCACCTCTCACTGTGTGGAGGGCCCTCATCACCTCTCACTGTGTGGAGGGCCCTCATCACCTCACACTGTGTGGAGGGGCCCCTCATCAACTCTCACTGTGTGGAGGGTCCTCATCATCTCACACTGTGTGGAGGGCCCTCATCACCTCACACTGTGTGGAGGGCCCTCATCACCTCACACTGTGTGGAGGGTCCTCATCATCTCACACTGTGTGGAGGGCCCTCATCACCTCACACTGTGTGGAGGGCCCTCATCACCTCACACTGTGTGGAGGGCCCTCATCACCTCTCACTGTGTGGAGGGCCCTCATCACCTCTCACTGTGTGGAGGGTCCTCATCACCTCACACTGTGTGGAGGGCCCTCATCACCTCACACTGTGTGGAGGGCCCTCATCACCTCACACTGTGTGGAGGGTCCTCATCACCTCACACTGTGTGGAGGGCCCTCATCACCTCACACTGTGTGGAGGGCCCTCATCATCTCTCACTGTGTGGAGGGTCCTCATCATCTCTCACTGTGTGGAGGGTCCTCATCATCTCTCACTGTGTGGAGGGCCTTCATCACCTCACACTGTGTGGAGGGCTCTCATCATCTCTCACTGTGTGGAGGGCCCTCATCACCTCTCACTGTGTGGAGGGCCTTCATCATCTCTCACTGTGTGGAGGGCCCTCATCACCTCACACTGTGTGGAGGGGCCCCTCATCACCTCTCACTGTGTGGAGGGTCCTCATCATCTCTCACTGTGTGGAGGGTCCTCATCATCTCTCACTGTGTGGAGGGCCCTCATCATCTCTCACTGTGTGGAGGGCTCTCATCATCTCTCACTGTGTGGAGGGCCCTAGACACAATATGTGACTAGAACCATGCGCGCCATCTGCCCAGGTGGCTCTCTTGAGAGCCAGCTGGGCAGGTGGCGCGCAGGTGTCTGGTCACATATTACACTACTCAACTTAACCTAAAACGCCTCTAATCTCTGAACAACTGTTTGTTATAACATCAATTTTTTTATTCCCATCTTGACATCTGACGTCACTGACGTCAGATCAGTAGCCATTCCATGTTTGTAAGAGTTTATTTTTCTTGTATGGTATTATTAAAACAAAAGTTTATTATATATATTATACTTTATGGAAATTTAAGCCTAGATTAGGAAATTAGTATTTTTGTTACATTCGAAATTATTCGTGTTTTTCAACCAGTCCTCAGGCTATGTTCGCCCAAGCTGTGGGCGACCAATAATTGAATCAACTCGGATTCATCAATTTTAATATAAAACAGAGGTATTGGTATTGTAAATTCTCGTGTAAATTGTAAAGTAGATCTAAATGGATCCAAATGTATTTTGGATCCCTTTTTGACTGATCAATTACGAAACAATTTGAGTTAGATTATTAATACTCAGTTATCTCAATAATATCTTATTAATATTTCCTTATATCATTATTATCCATTAATATCTAATTATTATCTCATTAATGATTCCTGGAACTCACATGTTGGGTCTTAACTACTTAAGGTAACCACTTAACTATGTCTTAACTACTGTGACTGAACTATTGAGTAGTTAAGTCATCCACATTTTCTTTACTAGTGGCTTTACAAGAATGAAACAAGTCTTGTATATATAACCCAGTTGAAAGAGCGTCGGCGTCACTGACGTGGGGTCCGCGGTTCGAGACCCATACAGCTCAGGTGAATGGAAAGCATAAACTATGTAGATGTCCGATATGCTTCACACACAACAAACATAAATAATTGTTGAAACAAGCAATACCTGGCCTACCTTAGGCTTAACTATACCCAATACTGTAATAAATTATAATATTACTATAATTAGAGAAAATACCTCTTATTATTTAAGAGTATATCAAATGACAAATAGGCCCCTAGGGTCGGCCGTAGCTTGGACGTGCCAGGCTTGAGGATGGGATGGTTGCTATGCTCGTCTATGCTGTGGCTTTTCTCAAAGAAACATTAGTAGACACAATCGACTTCATGATCCAGGACAGTCCAAAACCTCGTCGTCTGCACATTGGCAGTTTTTTCTATACTGTATATAAAGAAGTTTGGCCTAAGGTAAGTTAGGAAAATGTTTTTGTTCTGTTGCCTCTATGTAGACTGTTCTCACTTATAAAACCCTTCCCAACACTGCTCATGCTGCACTCAGTCTGCATCCACGCAGCTTGTCTCCACCACACCTTGTCTGAGTAGATGTAACTGTTGAGAGGTGAGACCCTGCAGGTGATTACTGGGTGTGTATACTGTGTGTGTGGAGACTGAGATGTATTGTTGTATAACTCCATGTCAAGCTCAATGGTTGCATACTTAGTGGAGACTGAAGTGCATAAATTTGTACCCATTCCCTCTGATACCCACTGGATGTAAAGGTTGAAAGTTAGCCTAACAGGGGATCCGCTGCAGGTGACTGGCTTCTGCGACAACACCACCCACGAGCGACTGACGCCCACCAAGCACAACGCCCAGTGTTCTGGCAGGAGCATCATGGAGGTCCTCCTCGACCACCACGACTTCCAGAGACAGTCAGTGTCTTCCTGTTCATGTTATGCCCTCATAAACTCTTTAATGTATGTAAACAAAGCTACCTAAGATTGAGAAAAGATGTAATGGTTCGTACGTATTTGCGTAACTGCTTCATGAATCTGGTCCCGACTACTATAATAATAATAATAATAGTTATTCAGGTAAAGGTACACACATACAAAATGAGCTACAAACATATATTACATAAATACAGTAGCGTTACTGTATTTATTTTTGTATTACAAAAATACAGCAGCTTTAGGCTTCTATGCCTAAAGCCATAATACACACAGCGTTTGCCCGAAACTAAGTTTTCAGAGCCGCATTCTGTAACACCAAGTTGGGAGTAAACTGTAATGGAGATGACATTTAGACTGAACATGTAATAGCTGCACGTAGAGGGAAAATAGTGAAGCCAGATTTGTTAGAGCGAGGTGAAGGAGTTAAATGTTAAGGAAAGGTGAAGTCAGATGTTGACGTGAGGTGAAGTCAAGCGTTAAGAGGAAGTCAAAACTGATAAGATGTAAGTTAAGCCACAATACATATTTACATAGCATAAGTTTGGAGAGTGTTGCCGCAATGTTTATTTTTCTAAGGGTTTCGATGTTATGGTGGTTGATAGGTGATTCTGAACGCTCTCTTCTAATGTTGTCTTTGTCTTCTAGGAATAGTCCAGTGTCCATAAAGTCCAAGTTGATGCTACAGACACGTTTCACTCATGCCTCTTTCTCCTCCAAGGTTTCTGAGTGCTTCTCATGTATATACTTTGCTATAGTTACTGCAAGTTATTGTGTAAACTTCCTCCACGGTGATCTTGTTGCTGTTGGTGCTTCTTCCACTGAGGATGTTGACTGTAGTAATTCTGTGCATATTGGCTGTCTTGGCTGTATTACAGGTGATAGTCATGTTGTTTGCTTGTTGGCCTACTGGGAAATATGGCGATTAAACTATATATATATATATATATATATATATATATATATATATATATATATATATATATATATATATATATATATATATATATATATATATATATATATATATATATATATGTCGTACCTAATAGCCAGAACGCACTTCTCAGCCTACTATGCAAGGCCCAATTTGCCTAATAGGCCAAGTTTTCATGAATTAATTGTTTTTCGACTACCTAACCTACCTAACCTAACCTAACCTAACTTTTTCGGCTACCTAACCTAACCTAACCTATAAAGATAGGTTAGGTTAGGTTAGGTAGGGTTGGTTAGGTTCGGACATATATCTACGTTAATTTTAACTCCAATAAAAAAAATTGACCTCATACATAATGAAATGGGTAGCTTTATCATTTCATAAGAAAAAAAATAGAGAAAATATATTAATTCAGGAAAACTTGGCTTATTAGGCAAATCGGGCCTTGCATAGTAGGCTGCTAAGTGCGTTCTGGCTACTAGGTACGACATATATATATATATATATATATATATATGTCGTACCTAGTAGCCAGAACTCACTTTTTGGCCTACTATTCAAGGCCCGATTTGCCTAATAAGCCAAGTTTTCCTGAATTAATATATTTTTTTCTAATTTTTTTCTTATGAAATGATAAAGCTACCCATTTCATTATGTATGAGGTCAATTTTTTTTATTGGAGTTAAAATTAACGTAGATATATGACCGAACCTAACCAACCCTACCTAACCTAACCTAACCTATCTTTATAGGTTAGGTTTGGTTAGGTAGCCGAAAAACAATTAATTCATGAAAACTTGGCTTATTTGGCAAATCAGGCCTTGCATAGTAGGCTGAGAAGTGCGTTTTGGCTACTAGGTACGACATACATATATATATATATATATATATATATATATATATATATATATATATATATATATATATATATATATATATATATATATATATATATATATATATATATATATATATATATATATATATAAAAGGACAACTTCCGTATCTAGACATGCAAATAAGAAGAGACCCCAGTTCCTTCACTTTAACCAACTAGCTGAGTACCTTATTCTAAAACGCCATGATCTTGTAGAGAGAATTTCTTTCAAGATATGGACCAATACTTTACAGTCCGTCATAAACCTGAAATATCCCATATATTTCATTAAGGAATGCAGAGAGCAAACAACTAAGATGACCAGAAGTAACACCATGCAACAAGAGCCACAGCGACGGCTGCAGCTCGCAACACACCAGGCAGCAAACACCGTTACTATGCCAATTAGCATTTAAGATTCGCCTGCTGGCCGCTTGAGTGAGTGGACATTTCTTGGTGTTGCCTCCCAGCTGCCTCCTTGTGTGTGGAGGTGGTGGTTGGGGATAGCTGCTATGGCCCGTGTGGTTCCCTTCTTGTGCAGGGTGCAGTTCTGTGTTAAGATGGGGTCTTCCGTGCCTCCTTTGCAGCGAACCACCTCGGCTGGGTTGCAGTTTACCGTGCTTGTGGACCACACCTTGGCTGGCATTGCCTTGGAGGACGTAGTATTGGTCAAGTTGATGGCTCTGACGAGTGTTCAGCTGCTCCAGGATCGTCGGGTGGTGGTTAAGTTTCGCAGTGAGGCCTAGTTTCAAGAATTCCTCCGACGGTGAGAGGGGCGCTCTTTTTCTCTGCCTGATGGCGCTGGTAACCTTCGGGTGGTGAACCTGAGTGTAGCTCTGACCTATGTGTCGGTACGGTTAGCTTTGCTCGAATTACTGGATGAGCATTTAACCAGGCTGTTTCGTCGGTTTGTGAAGGTGCTCAATGTGAGATAGAATAAGGTCGATGCTCGCAAATGTGCTGGCCTGCTGGCCAGTACATGGTACCAGGACGCTCGCGATGTCCATGGAACATAGTGTTCCATCTTCTCTGTCCTTACTGGGGTTTACATTGTAGTGCATGAATAAAAAGCAGCCCTGTACGTGTTTTCGCTGTGGTCAGCAGGGGCACCTGGCAGCGGCGTTTGACGTAGCCGTTGCTGATCGTGTGAATATCCTTTGGGAAGATGACGTTTCTCACCTTTCGACACAGGATGTGTCGTCCCAGGCAATACCAGTGGAGATGCAGGCGATGAGTCACAATAACGTGGCTAAAGTATGTTGACCAGACCACACACTAGAAGGTGAAGGGACGACGACGTTTCGGTCCGTCCTGGACCATTCTCAGGTCGATTCCCAATCGACTTGAGAATGGTCCAGGACGGACCGAAACGTCGTCGTCCCTTCACCTTCTAGTGTGTGGTCTGGTCAACCAGTGGAGATGGCAGCTGGGGATGTTCTATTGTCTCCCAGCATTCCGGGTGTTGAGCCGGTGTGTGTGGCGATTCCGAATGGAAGCGAGGACGGGGTGGTATGCTCTGGTTTGTCGGGGTGCGACGGCCTGCCAGTGTGTGTGGCTTTTCCGGTTCCTGGGATTTGTGTGGTACCGGAGTTACAGGAGGAGGTCCATGATGTGCTACCTGCAGTGGTGGTGGTGCTGGAACCCCAGGAGCTGTCCCCGTTGGAGTTGGTGTGCGTTCTTGGTGCGCATGCGCCGCCTGTGGTGCCTCAAGATGTGCGGGGTTTCCTTTCTGTCTCAGGTGCCGGTTCCAACTGTCTCTCCGGTGTGGTGGGTGTGGCCGTCCCACCGACTTCAAGACCCGTCGTGTGCGATTGAGTCGCTTCCTCGGCTGACGCGTAGGAAGGGGCTGCCAGGTGACGGTCCCTTGGTGGTGTGGACCCCTGTGGAAAATATGGCGGATGAGGAGGCGGTGGCTGAGGCGGTGCTCCAGGAATTACCGGTGCGGGATACGGTGTCACCGTTGCCTGTAGCCGGGTGTGAGCACCCCAGTGTTCGTGAAACGCGGTGGGGGGTAGTTGGCCCTGGTACTGGTGGTCGTGAGAAGAACGATTTGGTTGTTGGTCTGAGGAAGGGGGCTGTGACCTCTCCTCGTGCACCTTCCACTTCATCGTTTCCCCCTGCTCCCTGGAGAAGGTTGGAACCGGAGCCGCTCCTTAATGTGTGAAGCACGATACATATTTAAAGAAGGACGTTTCCTGACTGTTAGGGGGGAAGGGGGGGGGTCACCCGTTGCCTTAGTGCTCTTAGTTCTGTGTTTTGTGATTTTGTGTTCGGTTTTGTTGATAAGATGTACTTCTCTTTTATATGTTTTATCGAATAATAAATAAAATTTGTTTTGTGCCAAGCTCTGCTTGCTGCTGCTAGGGTGTGTTGTGTAGGGCCTTTACTTTCATGGGTGTGTATATTGGTTTGTGTTGCGTGTATGGCCTTGTACTACACTGCTCTCGTGTTTTGCATATTGACTTTCCTGAAAGACTCGTTTGTCATTATTGTATGCGTTTAGCTACTCATTTTAATGTTCCATGCAACGTATTTGCTTACTATTCATGTTTCCTCAAGTTATTTAAATGTTCGACGTAGAGTATGAGAAACATCAGGAGCTTAGATGCCAGGCTTTACGAACATTGCTTGCAACACACAAGTTAAGAGCAATCTCTCATGAACTCTCTTGATGAGTTAGCGTCCATAATGAAAAAACATTTGATGACGGTGTAAAGAATCTGAAGTAGTACAACAATACAACTTTATTGAAAACTATAAAAAAAATCAACATTACAAACTCACTTTCTGAACTAATAGTAAGAAAATATACATTGACGTACATTATAACTTGTCTTCAATCCCCCAAAACATGTTAATTGCTATAACACACGTGGTTGGCATCAATAGAATATAGACAGTTGCTCCCCCCCAAAAAACGTATTTGGAATTACACCACTGCAAAAAACAGCGTTATCATCATGGTAATTTAACATGTTCTAGACCTAGGTGAGCAATCCTTGTAATAATATACGGAATATTACGCCGAAGTTACTACGTGATTGTACTTTACTACACCCAGGAAAAGTTACCTCTTGCTCTTCCCTTCGTTCTCGGGTGCTAACAAAACTAATAATATAAAAGTTGATAATTTTGTGGGTGGAAGAGTACGCGGTCAGATCATATTGTCCTCAGTCGCAACATGTACTGTGTATTTGGCGGGAAGGTTGTGTCCACCCCCGCACCTGCACCTCGCTGCACATGATGTTTATAAACTGGTGGTCATGTTTTTCTTAAGCGATTTTGAATAAGCTGAATAGGAAAATCCTCTTCAATAATGTTTCCTCACAACTATGTGAGTCTCTACATTACGCTCCGTCTGTTGATCATCAATTCTTATTATTAAATTTAAGTTTTTTTATATTAAGCTTGGCTGAAAGGTTGAGATAACTAGTGAATGGACATGAGGGAGATGCAAGCGTGACTGTGTGTTTCAGACCCGTCAGCCGGGATGACTTCAGTATTACCCTGGACTATGTGCAGTACTCCACCCAGCCCCTGGCACAGTACCTCATCCTTATGGACGCTTCACACAGCGGGGACTACAATACGCTACAGGTGAGACCCTCGCTACATGATGCATTTCTCGCTGCGTGACGCAAGTGAGAACTTTGTGGAGTTGTGGTACTAGTGAGTACTTTGGGGAGGGTTGGGGGTGCTAGTGATAACTTTGTGGAGGGTTGGGGTGCTAGTGAGTACTTTGTGGAGTTGTGGTACTAGTGAGTACTTTGGGGAGGGTAGGGGGTGCTAGTGATAACTTTGTGGACGGGTCGGGTGCTAGTGAGTACTTTGTGGACGGGTGGGGTGCTAGTGAGTACTTTGTGGAGGTGTGTGGTACTAGTGAGAATTATCCACTGTCACCTTGAATCAATACTTCCACTGTCACTTTGAGCCGACCCCTCACACTGTCACCTGGAGCCGACACTCACACTGTCACCTGGAGCCGACAGTCACACTGTCACCTGGAGCCGACACTCACACTGTCACCTGGAGCCAACACTCACACTGTCACCTAGAGCCAACACTCACACTGTCACCTGGAGCCAACACTCACACTGTCACCTGGAGCCGACACTCACACTGTCACCTGGAGCCGACAGTCACACTGTCACCTGGAGCCGACACTCACACTGTCACCTGGAGCCAACACTCACACTGTCACCTAGAGCCAACACTCACACTGTCACCTGGAGCCAACACTCACACTGTCACCTGGAGCCGACACTCACACTGTCACCTGGAGCCGACACTCACACTGTCACCTGGAGCCGACACTCACACTGTCACCTGGAGCCGACACTCACACTGTCACCTGGAGCCGACACTCACACTGTCATCTGGAGCCGACACTCACACTGTCACCTGGAGCCGACACTCACACTGTCACCTGGAGCCGACACTCACACTGTCACCTGGAACCGACACTCACACTGTCACCTGGAGCCGACACTCACACTGTCACCTGGAGCCGACACTCACACTGTCACCTGGAGCCGACACTCACACTGTCACCTTGAACCAATACTCAACTCGTAATTTCTGTTAAATACATAGTGTGTGTTGTGTGCAGGGAAGATGGAGCCTGGAGAGGGCAGCTGTGCAGCAGTGGGTGATGATGGATGTCCTCACTACCTCAAGTCTCGGTATCGTCACATTTGCCGAGTATACGCATCTGGTTCACAACATGACCGTCGTTACAGACCAGAGCAGGGAAGATATTGTCAACTCCCTGTCACAGTCTTATCTTGACTCCTCGAGGGATAAGAATATTACCTACGCCATACACACAGCAAGCAGCTACATGGTAGGTCCTGTTAAATGTATTGTTATAATGGTGCTCAGGTAGTGTGATTCTGTAAGTGAACTCAGGTAGTGAGGCTCTCTACAGTGAGCTGTTGCAGTGAGGCTCTGAATAGTGAGCTCAGGTTTTGTGGTGTCTCAAAAAATGTATACACTCTTTGAATAATTATAAACTTCTTTTGATAATTACTTACTTTGAATAATTATAAAGCCAGTGTTTATTATAATACATTTAATTTTTAAAATGTAATAGAATCTACAGACATCGAATAATTGATTTGTACACGCCCGTTTTCAAACTGATGTCCGTGCTGCTCCAGGCACAGCTGATAACGCGAAGCAATTGAACTGCAAACATTAATTAACATTTCGTTTTATATTTGAGTGCATTCTTGTTCAGTGGCTACTCTCAATTCAGACACAGTTAACGGTGTTGTAGTGTTAGCTTTTAAGTATCCCCCATGAAGAACGTCTAGAGGAGTGAGGTCTGGTGAACCAGTAGGGTATTCTATGAAACACCTTCACGCAGTTCATCTGTTTGGCAAGATTTCCTCAAGGTAGGATTTTACATCATGATGGTAGTGTTGGGGTGCCTCATCTTGCTGAAAATGAACTCATATAAAACATCAATTGAGGTATCAACTGTGTGTGTATTTTTTTTTGTTAACACACACACACACACACACACACACACACACACACACACACACACACACACACACACACACACACACACACACACACACACACACAAACACACACACACACATACACACACACACACACACACACACACACACACACACACACACACACACACACACACACACACACACACACACACACACACACACACACAAACACACACACACACATACACACACACACACACACACACACACACACACACACAAACACACACACACACACACACACACACACACACACACACACACACACATATACACACACACACACACACACACACACACACACACACACACACACACACACACACACACACACACACACACACACACACACACACACACACACACACACACACACACACACACACACACACACACACACACACACACACACACACACACACACACACACACACACACACACACACACACACACACACAAACACACACACACACACATTAGGTAAGTACACACACACACACACACACACACACTCAAACACACAAACACACACACACACATACACACACACACACACACACACACACACACACACACACACACACACACACACACACACACACACACACACACACACACACACACACACACACACACACACACACACACACACACACACACACACACACACACACACACACACACACACACACACACACACACACACACACACACACACACACACACACACACACACACACACAAACACACACACACACATATATACACACACACACACACACACACACACACACACACACACACACACACACACACACAAACACACACACACACACACACACACACACACACACACACACACACACACACACACACAAACACACACACACACATATATACACACACACACACACACACACACACACACACACACACACACACACACACACACACACACACACACAAACACACACACACACATATACACACACACACACACACACACACACACACACACACACACACACACACACACACACACACACACACACACACACACACACACACACACAACCCCGCCTCCCTCCTCTGCATAGAAAACCCCCCTACCCCAAACCCTCCCTGCCCCCACTCAAATGTTCAGCCAAATCTCCCTCCTCCCACACCCAATCCCCCCCCTTCTACCCCTCCCCTCCTCCCGAGTCCTCCCTCCCCTTTCACCCCATACCCTCCCTGTCCCTCCCCCTTCACTGGATCCCCCGCTCCTCATCCCAGTATCCTCTGAGACCCTGTTATCCACCTCACAGGTCCTCACACCCATGGAACAGCCTCCCCCACCAGCAGAACACTCACCAAGGAGGCAATTTGAGAAGGGACAGAAGAAAGTGAGCCTCAAAGCGATGTACACTAACATAGATGGAATTACAAATAAAGCAAATGAGCTTGGAGAACTGGTACTAGAGGAAAACCCAGACATAATAGCCCTCACAGAAACAAAGATCACGAAAACGATAACAAATGCAGTGTTCCCACAGGACTATTATGTTATGAGGAAAGAGAGGGAAGGAAGAGGTGGGGGTGGTGTAGCTCTGCTGGTAAGAAAAGGCTGGGATTTTGAGGAGATGGATATTCAGGGCTGTGAAGGTTTCAGTGACTACATAGCAGGTACTGTAACAAATGGAGGGAAAAAATTATAGTCGCAGTCATATATAATCCACCACCAAATGACAGAAGACCTAGACAGGAATATGATAGAAACAACATGGCCACCATTAACATAATAGAAAGAGCAGCTTCTGTTGCTAGCAGGAATGGATCTGGACTACTAATTATGGGAGACTTCAACCATGGGAAGATAGATTGGAAGAACAGAGACCCGCATGGAGGACCAGAAACATGGAGAGCTAAGCTGCTGGACGTGGCAACAAGAAACTTTCTAAGCCAGCACACCAAAGAACCAACAAGAATGAGAGGAGAAGATGAACCAGCAATGCTTGATTTGATATTTACCCTAAATGAGTGGGATATAAGGGAAGTTAAGATGGAAGCGCCCTTGGGAATGAGTGACCACAGTGTATTGAACTTTGAGAACCTGGTAGAGCTAGGACTTATCTCCCCCCAAAAAGAACTAGGAATCAAAAGGCTGGCATACCGAAAGGGGAATTATGAACAGATGAGAAGTTTCCTAAGTGAAATACCTTGGGACACAGACCTCAGAGACAAGTCTGTACAGGGTATGATGGACTATGTTACCCAAAAGTGTCAGGAGGCAGTAAACAGGTTCATCCCGGCCCAAAGGGAAAAATCCGAGAAGCAACAGAAGAATCCATGGTATAATAGGGCATGTATGGAAGCGAAGAAACTGAACAAAAAGGCGTGGAGGAACTTCCGGAATAACAGAACACCAGAAAGCAGAGAGAGATACCAGAGAACCAGGAATGAGTACGTCAGGGTGAGAAGAGAAGCAGAGAAAAATTTTGAAAATGATATAGCAAACAAAGCCAAGACCGAACCAAAGCTACTCCACAGTCACATCAGAAGGAAAACAACAGTGAAAGAACAGGTATTGAAACTTAGAACAGGCGAGGACAGGTATACAGAGAATGACAGAGAGGTGTGTGAGGAACTCAACAAGAGGTTCCAGGAGGTCTTCACAATAGAACAGGGTGAGGTCGCTGTGCTAGGAGAAAGGGAGGTAAACCAGGCGGCCTTGGAGGAGTTCGAAATTACGAGAGAGGAGGTCAAGAGACACCTGCTGGATCTGGATGTTAGAAAGGCTGTTGGTCCAGATGGGATCTCACCATGGGTACTGAAAGAGTGTGCAGAGGCACTTTGCTTGCCACTCTCCATAGTGTATAGTAAGTCACTAGAGACGGGAGACCTACCAGAAATATGGAAGACGGCGAATGTGGTCCCAATATACAAAAAGGGCGACAGACAAGAGGCACTGAACTACAGGCCAGTGTCCTTGACTTGTATACGATGCAAGGTGATGGAGAAGATCGTGAGAAAAAACCTGGTAACACATCTGGAGAGAAGGGACTTCGTGACAAATCGCCAACATGGATTCAGGGAGGGTAAATCTTGCCTTACAGGCTTGATAGAATTCTACGATCAGGTGACACAGATTAAGCAAGAAAGAGAGGGCTGGGCGGACTGCATTTTCTTGGATTGTCGGAAAGCCTTTGACACAGTACCGCATAAGAGGCTGGTACATAAGCTGGAGAGACAGGCAGGTGTAGCTGGTAAGGTGCTCCAGTGGATAAGGGAGTATCTAAGCAATAGGAAGCAGAGAGTTACGGTGAGGGGTGAGACCTCCGATTGGCGTGAAGTCACCAGTGGAGTCCCACAGGGCTCTGTACTCGGTCCTATCTTGTTTCTGATATATGTAAATGATCTTCCGGAGGGTATCGATTCATTTCTCTCAATGTTTGCGGACGATGCTAAAATTATGAGAAGGATTAAAACAGAAGAGGACTGTTTGAGGCTTCAAGAAGACCTAGACAAGCTGAAGGAATGGTCGAACAAATGGTTGTTAGAGTTTAACCCAACCAAATGTAATGTAATGAAGATAGGTGTAGGGAGCAGGAGGCCAGATACAAGGTATCATCTGGGAGAGGAAATTCTTCAGGAGTCAGAGAAGGAAAAAGACTTGGGGGTTGATATCACGCCAGACCTGTCTCCTGCAGCACATATCAAGCGGATAACATCAGCGGCATATGCCAGGCTGGCCAACATACGAACGGCATTCAGAAACTTGTGTAAAGAATCATTCAGAACTTTGTATACCACATATGTCAGGCCAATCCTGGAGTATGCAGCCCCAGCATGGAGTCCATATCTAGTCAAGGATAAGACTAAACTGGAAAAGGTTCAAAGGTTTGCCACCAGACTAGTACTCGAGCTGAGGGGTATGAGCTACGAGGAGAGACTACGGGAATTAAACCTCACTTCGCTGGAAGACAGAAGAGTTAGGGGGGACATGATCACCACATTCAAGATTCTGAAGGGGATTGATAGGGTAGATAAAGACAGTCTATTTAACACAAGGGGAACACGCACAAGGGGACACAGGTGGAAACTGAGCACCCAAATGAGCCACAGAGATATTAGAAAGAACTTTTTTAGTGTCAGAGTGGTTGACAAATGGAATGCATTAGGGGGTGATGTGGTGGAGGCTGACTCCATACACAGTTTCAAGTGTAGATATGACAGAGCCCGATAGGCTCAGGAATCTGTACACCTGTTGATTGACGGTTGAGAGGCGGGACCAAAGAGCCAGAGCTCAACCCCCGCAAACACAACTAGGTG